ATATATATATATATATATATATATATAGAGAGAGAGAGAGAGAGAGAGAGAGAGAGAGAGACTCACTTGTCACGAGTACTTTAGGTTTTTTATCTGCTTCAGCTGAAAATGTATTTATGGTGATTCTTGGGGTATGTTTTTGTTGTCAGATACTGCAGCATGGACAGTCTTCACAGCTATTGGCAGTTTGGCGATGAGCTCCGAGGACAATCAAAAGTTTCAGAGGATCATCAATGGTCAACGGCTGCTATGAAATTGGCTCAGCAGATAAGGTCCAAGGGTGAGCGGAGGAATAACCTAGACCTTTCAAAGGGCTCATCTGAAATTAGGCCCAGGGATAATTTAGGGTTTCAGGAAGATAACAAGTGGGAAAGCCTTAACTTCTACATGTTGAATTTGGATACCAAGATGAATGAAAATACGTCGAAGAGTTCCATTACGAATGGCATGTACAACATGAATTCAGCTTATCTTAAACCCAACGTCAACAACTTGGGAAATGTGTCTTTAAGCAAGTTCAACATTGGGAACCACACAAAGGAAAGCAACAACAACAATAACAACAGTGAGAGTGCCAATGGGAATAATGCCACTGACAAAAGGTTTAAGACTTTGCCTGCTGCCGAGACACTTCCCAGGAATGAGGTTCTTGGTGGATATATATTTGTTTGCAACAATGACACGATGCAGGAAGACCTAAAACGCCAGCTGTTCGGTATTTCTCTAGCATCTTTAAGCTTTCTGCCAAAATGGTCTTGATTTTGTGACATGGAATATTATCATATTTATATCTTGTTAATACATAAGGTTATATAAACAACCTTTCTGCATTCTGATCCTTTTGATAAAAATTGTGGACGGAATAGTGGTCTTATACCTATTCTTTATTGTAGAAGGAAACCATATGGAAATGATAGAAAGAGTGATGATTAAAGGACCAGAATGTCAATTTTGTAACTTGCGCCTGTTTATATAAACATTATTTACCGTTTAAAAAAAAGATCTGCTTTGTTTGAGTTGTCAGTTATTATGCATCTTATATCTTGTTAGCTTTTTTGTGTTTGTGGCTGCCTTTTGTTAGAAACACTTGCAAAGAAAGGAGATTGAGATCCTTATTGGATTTGAACCTCGAGAGTTCTGGGATTCAATTTGTGCCAATAAAGCAAACTGAAAGTTGAAGCTATTGATAAGTTGATGGTGATGAAAAAGGAACTGTTTCCACTGTTACAAGTTCAATCATTCTTTTGCAGGTCTACCTCCAAGGTACAGAGATTCTGTGAGGGCGATAACACCAGGCTTACCCTTGTTCCTCTATAATTATACTACTCACCAGTTACATGGTATCTTTGAGGTTAGTTGCGACATTTTTGGTTGTTACTGGTGTGAACAGATGTAAGTCAACTGGTTTACGCTATTAGCTAGAAGGGCAGAAATTATGAAAAATTGTATGCATACATACTAACACCTTCATCCTTGGGAGGCTTGAACGTGCTTGCTATGGTTCTTTCCATAGTTTTTTCCTTCTTATTTTATGTTAAGATTTCATTATCCTTCATCCATAGTGGTTTGAAGAGTTGCTGTTTGCATTCCTTTCTTATCAACCCCCCCC